GGCGATGTCTCTAAGGCTTGTGCTGGGAGGAGCAGTGAGGTCAGGAGATGGAAAAGGCCTTGTAAGAGGCTGCGTGCTGAGAGGAGGAGGAAAGAGAGGACCAAGGGTGATGCCACCTTCTTGGGGATGCTGCAGGGCAGAGAGGGGGTGAGGGAGGGAGCCCTCGCAGTGGAGATGAGGAACTCTGGAAGGAGACCTGGAAATTCCCAGAGGTCGGTGGGCAACCAGGGTCTTGGGCCTGGGGCCCAAGGCCACTGGGAGAGCGGCCATGGGCCACAGCCTCAGAGCTGGGTGTCACTGGTGGAAGGTGAGTACTTGTGTGTGTGAAGCCAGGAGAGGCTGAGGTCACCCAGAAAGGAGAAAGGAGCGAGTCACATGAAATGAAAAGAGGGTGGGGCACAGACCTGGGGCAGCGTGGGTCGAGTTGCCCAAGATCTGAGACTAGATTCCGGCTTCTTGTCCTCTAAGCTCCGCCTGGGCCAAGGGGCCCCAGCCTCCCCCGCCATGGGGATCAAACAGGCCTAGGGCTGTTTCCCCTTGACACTGGCTTCATGAATGATTTTGGTCCCAGTGGATGATGGGCAAGTGGATCTAACTACAATCTCCGGTATTGAATGACTGAGGAAAGCTAATCCTGGGCTCCTCTTGGCCACAGGTGACAAGTACTGGGTGTTTAAGGAGGTGACGGTGGAGCCCGGGTACCCCCACAGTCTGGGAGAGCTGGGCAGCTGTCTGCCCCGAGAAGGCATTGATACAGCTCTGCGCTGGGAACCTGTGGGCAAGACCTACTTTTTCAAAGGCGAGCGGTACTGGCGCTATAGCGAGGAGCGGCGGGCCACCGACCCCGGCTACCCCAAGCCCATCACCGTGTGGAAGGGCATCCCCCAGGCTCCCCAAGGGGCCTTCATCAGCAAGGAAGGATGTACGTAAGAACCCGGCCGGGTTTGGGGGGACCTGGTTTAGCGTAGGTCTCATCGGGGTCCGCCCACAGGAGGAGTACTCTCATGGTATCCAGGTTTGAGAAATATCACCTGGTGGCAAAGACAACCACCTCATATCGACCCACATTCACACAGTCACTTAATCTTCTCTTAACAGCTGCCAAGTCACAGTTTCTCATCTGTGGGTATCATTCACAACTGAGAGAGGTTTTCATAGACTGACTTCATTCCCTCAGGCAGCATTTCTCAAGCAGAGGTCCTCAGGAGTACTCTAGGAGTGCCTTGAGTTATCAGATCTGAAATGATGGATGTGGAGGTTCAAAGGGCTTTTTCACAGGGCTTGAAGATAACAGAGAGAAGCCTTTTTAAATTTTTTAAATGTATGAGATATTTTCTAAGCTTCTCCTGGGTGGCAGGCTGACTCAGAGCCTCTCTCAACACTAGACTAGAAGCTTGTCAAGAAGAGGGACTGAGGGAATGCCGTGGTAGTCCAGTGGTTAGGACTCTGTACTTCAATGCCGAGGGCCTGGGTTCAGTCCCTGGTTGGAATACTGAGACCCCACAAGCTGTACAGCACAACCAAAAAGAAAAAGAAAAGAAAAAAAGAGGGGCTGGGACTTGCCAGGTGCCGAGCACGTATCCATGAATGTTTGAATTCATCTCCATTGATCTGGTCAAAAGCAGACTCTGGAGCCAGCCTGGCTGGTTTCATATCCCTCCCCCACTACTCAATATGAGTTTGGGCATAGCACTTGTTTCTTCATCTATAAAATGGGGATAATAATGGTCCCTACTTCACAGAGCTTTGTGAGGATGAAGATAAATTACGTAGAGCAGTTGGCCCATGCCACGTAAGTTTCAGCTGTTATCATTATCATCATCTTGTTGGGATGTTTTAGTTTTTATGGAATGACAGGAGGCATTCATTCACTCCACAGTAATTACTGAGAGTCAGGTTGTGTGGGAGGGCTGGAGATGGAGCTTGGAATGAGACGTGCATTGCATCTATGGCTCCGAGCCTAGAGGCAAAAAAACAAGTAAGGTGGCAACAAAGGCAGTAAGGGAAAGCATTTGGGAGAGAGTATCTGAGCAGACGGCCTTGTGAGAGAGGGTTGTCAGGAAGGGCTCTCCAAGGAGATGTCTCCAGTAAGAAAGACAGGGGCTAACAGGGGTGGAGCTGCTATTTGGTGGCTCTCCTGTGTAGCTGATGCTTTACACATGTGGCCTCACTCTTCGGGGCAGCCTCAAAGACAGGTGACATCAGGAACCTTAGCCAATGAAAGTCCCAGCCAGGGTGAGGAGCCGGCCAATGGGAGAACGTTGAGTCAGTTGCTTTGCATCAGGACTGACTCAGCTGATAAGGCTGCTGCAGGGAGCCTTGTGGTGGCTGCCAAGCCCTGCTACCTCCTTTCCTTCCATCCCCTCCCCCAGCAGGGTCCTAGCGACCCTGCAATCTGTGTTGTGAAGTCACATGTGCCAAGCCCCCAAAAAAGCACAGTAGTTACCAAGAGGTGGTGTCCACTGTCGACAAAAGAATTCTGGCTCCTTGGCTCAGGCACAGCCCTGGAGCTAGCTGTGGAGGCAGCGCTGTCCAAGCCCTGAGTGGGGGTTTCATCTGACCCATGTGGGGGTGGGGGGGCATGAGGGGTATAGACATAGTACAACAGGGCTGAGACCCCAGGCTGAGAAGGGTCCTTGTCTGGGAAAAAAAATGAACTCACCAGTTCTACCTGAAGCCCCTCAGTGGTCCCCAGCACCCCTGAGATGACAGGGTGGGCTGCTCCGGGTCTGGGTGCCTCTGCAGCTGGGCAGGCCATAGTCCCTGACCAGCCACACCCTCCGTGGGGTGTGCCAGGCACCCCAGGTGTTCCAGCACGCTGCTCCCCCCACCGCGTGTGCCCACCCCCGCTTTCGGAGCTGCTCTGCGCTCCTCCCAGGTGGGAGAGGTACCCCCTCCTCCACACTGCCACAGCCCCTGTGCCTTCTCATGCTAGCCCAGAGCAGGTGCAAGGGTGTCTGGGATGGTGATGCTGGGCCGTGTTTCTACAGATTACACCTACTTCTACAAGGGCCGGGACTACTGGAAGTTTGACAACCAGAAGCTGAGCGTGGAACCAGGCTACCCGCGCAACATCCTGCGGGACTGGATGGGCTGCAACCAGAAGGAGGCGGAGCGGCGCAAGGAGCGGAGGCTGCCCCAGGACGACGTGGACATCATGGTGACCATCAACGACGTGCCAGGCTCTGTCAACGCGGTGGCCGTGGTTATTCCCTGCATCCTGTCCCTCTGCATCCTGGTGCTGGTCTACACCATCTTCCAGTTCAAGAACAAGGCGGGCCCTCAGCCTGTCACCTACTATAAGCGGCCAGTCCAGGAGTGGGTGTGAGCAGCCCGGAGCCCTCTTTGTCCACTCAGTCTGGCCGGCCAGGCCCTTCCTCACCAGGGTCTGAGGGGCAGCTCTGGCCACTGCCCACCGGGGCCAGCAGGGCCCTAGGCCAGGGGTCACGTAGCTGAAGTGGTGGTGCATTGGCCTGGGCTGAGCATGGAGCAGGGAGTGATGGCGGCTGTGCCCCAGGGTGGGCGCCTGGTGTCCAGCTGCCAGCCTTCTGTCCTGGGTAACCGCTCCCTACTCCAGGGAACAGGCCAGGCCCCGTCAGGAGGCAGGGCCCATGCCAGGAGGCAGCCCTGAGGTCACTGCGCCCCGTGGTGTCCATGAGGCACCACGGCGCCATACCTGGCTGGACCCAGCACCTTCTGTGGGAAGCCAGCACAGCTCTCGGCCCCATCTGGGAGATGCCACCAGTTCTGGTCCCCCTTTGCCAACACCTGCTGGTCAGATGTCCCCCCACCCCACTCCCACTGTCCTACACGGCTACAGGACCCCTGCCACCGACACAGTGGGAATCAAGCCTGGGTTTCCCCTGCTGGCCACAGCAGATCCCTCAGGAAACCTGCTCCACAAGTCAGGGTCTCCTCGGAGACCCAGAATTTAGGGTCACATGCTGCAGGCAGGGCTGTGGCCCAGCTGGATCTGACAAGGACCCAGCTGTCACGTCGTGAATATTTCAATGTCCTGTCACTATTGTTTAAAGTCCCATTTTGCAAAGGCTGCTTGAGGCTTTAGGTGAATTAGCGGTGACTGTCTTGGCGAGGCCAGCCCTCCCCCCAGCGATAAGGACCAAGGTGCTGTTAAGGCCACTCCAGTGTCCCGACACCCCAGGAGCCGGGCCCTGCTAATGAGGCTACCGGGTGGGAGCAGGAGCTGACCCCTCTGGAGGCTGACCTAAGTTCGTAGCTGTCCTCTACTCTCCCATCTCTCTCACCATTCCCTAAGTCCCTGCCCTGCTCCTGCCCTGCTCCAGCCTGTTGCCTGTGACCTGAGAGCTCAGCCTGATTGGTTAGGTGAGAGAGAAATGACTCTAGGCCAACACTCTCATGACCCTGGGGGAAGGGGCCCAGGGCAGTCTTCTGAAATGCTCAGAGCCCGCACCCCTAGGTGCCCTGAGACCAACTCAATTTCTCAGCCCAAAAGCAGTGTTTATACCATGAGCTTGGCCCCTGCTAACCCAGCTCTCTGGGCCCACCACCCTGCACCCATATCTGCTAACAGCCCCAAGCCTAGGGGCCTGCCCTTCACTGTCTCTGGCAGGAATTCCTAGGGCTCGGCTTGCCTCACACCAACCCAGGAAGAGGCAGACCTGCTTGTTGCTAAGGAGCCAGAGGCAGGACCAATGGGCTCAATGATGTCCATGGGCTCTCTGCCAAATCCAAGAGGAGATATCAGTCTTTGGGGGTGCTGGCAGTGCCTCTGAGCCTGCACGGGCCTTGCCCCCCACCCTGTGGCCTCTGAGCTTTGGGTCTGCTTAACCTGTAGCAGACAGGGCCTCTGGGAGCCATCTTGAGCAAAATCTCTCTTGTCCCAGAGACACCTATATGGGTCCACTGTGTTCCGTCATCATCCTTGTTTTTTTTTTTTCTCATTTTGGTCAAGGGCGGGCTCCCTGGGGCGGGTGGGGAACAACTGCGGAGATATTAGTGATTCATAGGTTTGTACAGTGTTTTATACTTTGCAAAGCACTTTATTAGCTCACCCCTGTCCACTCACATGTAATTCATGTAGTCCTTGGGAGGCCAAGGATAACTCTCACTGTGCCCTCAAACACAGCACAGAGAGGCTGTTACTTGCCCAGGCCATTTAGTGGGCTTGCTGGGCATTGGGTCCCCACCTGTGGACCCCTCCAGGGTCCAAGATGAGATCTAAAGTGTCTCTTTTATCCGTCTTTCCTCGGCCTCCCTTTCCCCTTCCCTGGTCCCTCTCCACTCCTCAGGTTGGTGCTCTCACTTCGCGAAAGCTCTAGGCCCCCCAGGCTCCCCACTGGCTCCTGGTACTACTGAGGTCAGCTGAAAAAGAGCAGGAGATGGAGGCAGGCAGCCCAGGCTGCAGATGTGAGGGACGCAGGGCCAGGCCCAGAGAAGGCTCAGCCTGGAGGCTTCCAGTCATGGATTCTCCTGCCTTGGTGTCATCTGTTTGTCCATCATCCCAGGACAGGGCAGACAGACAGAGGGGCAAAGCACTGGGGACCCCAGAGCCCAGCTTCCCCTCAGTCTGGGGAACATCACAGCATTTCAGTGTCAGTCACATTTTAAACTGATCAGCCTTTGTATAATGTTTTTTAAATCATTTCTAAATAAAACAAAAATACAGAGTGTGTCATTTCCCTGGACTGTCGAAACAGGGATCAGGTTCTGAGTGGCCTAAAGAAGCTTCTGGAAGACAGGATGCTTTGGGGTGTCTGGGAGCTGCCCCACACATCTCATCTGCCAGCCCCAAAAAATCAGATGCCCTCTCTCTCCAAAAGGCTGGCCCTGGAGGCCCTCTGTGACTGGGGTCCCAGTGATACAACCGGATAATGCCAGGGTGGACACCCAGGATGGCGCCTCTCCCAGAAGAGGTATGGATGGGCAGGTTCACTGCGGCAAGGTCTTTTCTGAAGTCAAGACACAAGGTGCTATGACCAAGACAAAAGCAAGAGCCCAGTTCTTGGTGATAGGGAAAACTGAGGTGAGGTGAGGCCAGTAGCCTTGGGGTCTTCTTACCAACAGTCCTGACCTGGTTCTGGAAGCCAGTGACGGGAAGCCTGCCCCAGGACCCGGACGGCCGGATAAACTGTGGGGTGGGCAAGAACACGAAGGTCTGGGCGAGTCTGGGTGCAGGCTAAGAAGCAAACAGAACCAGGGTAGAGGGAAGGGCCGGAGGAAAGACGGCGCCCTGAGGCCAGGCTGCGGAGGCTTCCTTCCAGTCGCCCTCGGGCTCCCCGACTCTCCGCGCGCCTCCAGGGTGGGCGAAGGTGGGGAAAGACAAGGGCCCGACCAGGAGAAGCGGGCCGGACGACAGGAGGCGGCGGGTGCTAACTGCAGAGGGCAGCCAGTCAGTACCAGGAGGTGCAGGCGATGAGGAAGCGAACGTCGTCCAGCGGCCCCCAGGGGCTGGGCTCTGGCCGGGGCCGAGCAGGGCCCTCCGGCGCCGCAGGCTGGGGTTGGGGCTGCGGCTGGGGCTGCGGCGGGTCCGCGGCGCCCTGGCCACCGCTCAGCTGAGCGCCCATGTTCTGCAGGAGGAGAGGCCCATCAGGTGCGGGGCCGGCCGCACACCAACCCTGTCCCGCCCTGCCCCGCTGGGGCCCGCCCCTCACCTCGCACCGCCGGAGCCTCAGATCAGAACGGTCCCAGCCCGGGTCTCCACTCCCCGCTCGCCCGCACAGCGGCGTATGGAGGCACCGGCGTCCTGACGTCACGGCGCACGGACCACGCCCCCTGAGCGCCTTGGAAGGTTTCAGGACGCAGGGGCGGGGCCCAACGTACCCGACCCCACCCACCAGCAACCGTCCAAACTTGTCCCCGAGTCCCGGGGCCCCGCCCTGCGAGCAACTTGGGATCCGCCCCAACTACCCACCCCTCTCCAAGGCTGGCTCCACAGGCACCCAAGGCCCTAAGGCAAAGGGCGGGAGATGAGTCTGAGACTGTCCAGGGCACCTAGCAGCCAGGCCAACAACCTCCATCCACCACTGCGGGTCAAAGAGGACAAGGCTGCCCTGTGGCCAAGTGAGCCAAAGCCCTTCATGATCCTCACACTGGCGTAGGGGAGAGCTGAAACAGACTCATTCTTTGAAGCCAAAAGGATGAGGCTGAAGTTGTGTGGAAAACAGGAGTATAGTGGAGGGTTTCTTTCTCTTGCCCTGGGATGAAGCTGCCCATCTAATGATGGGGGGCAGGGCTGTAAAACTATGGGATGTGTGCATCCTACTCCACCTTCCCCCTGGAACAATGATGAGGGGGCTGAGTGCAGGCTGAAATCCCCAAATAACACATTCAGAACGGCCAGAGGAAGCTGCCCTTTAATGGGGTGGCACAGACAACAGAGCTCTCAGCCAGAAGCCATAGGACCTGCCAGCCAGCATGATGTGGCAGATTTTTGCAGTAACTATAGATTCAGGAGATGGGCACAGATGAAGAATGGCTGGGCATACAGCCACGAGTCCAGGTGAGTTCTCTGCCACCACCCTGCCAGCATTCAGGACAGACTGGGTGGAACACTGAGAGGGAGCCAAAGTCCAAGCCAGGACCAGTATGGAAGGTGACTCAGGTGAGGCTGGAGAGAGAGGAAGGAGTGTTGTCAGTAGGTGCTTCACAGAGCACAGCTCACCCTCCATGCTCAAGGTGCTTGCCTCCACCCTCACCCCAGGACCTCTGTTCCAGCTCTGCCCTGAAGAGCCCCTTCCAGATTCCACTGCTCCCAGGAGTAACAATCCAGTCCAGAACTCTCAATGCTTAAAAAGGAAAAGTAACTCCTCCACTCAAGGGGGTGAACTCAAAATAACTTATTCAAATGGCTGATCATAATCAGAGCATCACAGGTCAAATCCAACAGACTAAATTAGACAAGGGGGAGGGGGCACTCAGAGAGGGAAAAGAGACACAAATCCTAGGTCACAAATTCTCTAGTGGCAGGACTGAGGCCAGAACATTCTTCTTGGAGGTGATGATCATTTGCAAGATTGTGAAAGTGAAGTACATCTTTTTTTGGCTGCACCTCACAGCTTACAGGATCTTGGTTCCCTGACCAGGGCCTGAACCCAGGCCTTCAGCAGTGAAAGCAGTGAGTCCTAATCACTGGGCTTTCAGGGAACTGCCTGAAGTACACATTTCTAATCCCTTATCTGACACCGTCCTTGTAAGGTCTCATGGGCACCTCAAACTCAACAGGTTCAAAGCCAAAGGAGTCTAATGAGTTTTGTCACTTCTTTATCAATACCCATTTTTAAAAATACAATGCTGACCAGTGCCACTGCCTGTAGGCAGTTCTGCCTGGCAGTTTCTGAAGTTTTTCCATTAAATACAACATTGCTGTAGTTTTTTTTAGTAGGTAACAATTATCAGGTTGAAGCTGAAACTCCAAAACTTTGGCCACCTGATGCGAAGAGCTGACTCATTGGAAAAGACCCTGATGCTGGGAAAGATTGAAGGCAGGAGACGGAGGGGACGACAGAGGATGAGATGGTTGGATGGCATCACCGACTCAATGGACATGAGTTTTAGCAAGCTCCAGGAGTTGGTGATGGACAGGGAAGCCTGGCATGCCACAGCCCATGGAGAGTCGGACACGACTGAGTGACTAAACTGAACTGACCTAAATTATTAGGTTATAGAAATTCTTTCTGTTCTCAGTTGCTAAGAAGTTTCTGTTTTATTCTTTAATTAAATGGTTAATTGTGGAAGTACTGTTTTCTTTATGAGGGTCAATGTTCCAAAAGGGGAGGGAGGGTATATTTTATTCATCACATCATTATTGTCTGATACATAGTAGGTATTAAAAAATAACTACACGTGGCTGGATCCTATGCCAAATTGAGGGAATCAGGATTTGAAGGATGATGTCAAGAATCTACATTAATAAGCACCCCCAACACAGAACAGAGGTCAAAACACCTACTACAGTCAAAACTTCTGGACATGGGCATTCAGAGTCCTCAGCCCTGGGGATAAAACCTTTCCCCTTCACACCCTCCACACTTCCCCACCCTATCTCTGCATATTCAATTACCTACTTATTCCCTGAAGCCCAGGCTGATTGATTTGTCTTTCCTAAAACCTTCCTGGACTCCAGTTAAGTGTCTCATGGGAGCCTCCAAAGCCACAAAATGGCGCCTTTATTTCTTCTTTGATGGAAGCTGAGTTATATGTAGCCATTACGTCTTTTCTCCCCAGCTACACACTGAGTCCCTCTCAGAGGCAGGATGTAGCACTAAGTTGCCTGACTATCCCACATGGAGCCTTGTTCATAGGGTTCCATGAACATCAGGTGACTGAATGAATGAAGGTGGGAAAATGAAGGGAAATTTAGGCCCTACTAAGGAGGGTGTCTGCTACTAGGCCCTTACTCTACTTTCTATCCTCATAAAGACTCCTGTGCCAGCTAGGTATGGCATGCCTTGAGAAGGATCCTCAATGGGGGAGGGGGTACTAAACATCCAGCACCTGATGCTCTTCGAAAGGAGGAGATTCTAGAGCCTAACACTAAAATCTCCAGAGTTAGGGCTCAAGAACCCACTTTTGATTTAAACCCACCGAAGTACAGATGATGGTGATTCTGATGCACTCGCCACATCCACCCCCAAGTCCCTTAGGAACCAAAGTAGCCTTCCCTTCTTCCCTCAATAAAAAGATCTTTCCTGTCTCAGGCTACTGGCTGAGTACACCAACACACAGGCAGATTAAAAACTTAAAAGAAGGTGGTCAGCAATAAAGCAAGACAGCCTAAAGAAGGGATACATTGAGTCAACGTCCTCAAAGATGGGGATGAGCAGATATTCAGGCAATGCTTGTGGACTGTACCCTGTGGCTACTCAGCACTGTGTGGATGTAGCCTCACAGAGGAGAGCCTACTGGTATGAACAGTGTGGCTCCCATTATAGCCGGCATCTCCCTCCCCTCCCCTCAACAGAAGAAAGGCCCAGATACCTGTCAATGAGGGAATCCCGCATGCTGGTAGCAATGGTGCTAGGCTGGGCTTCGTTCAGCTTGAAGACACTCTCCACGACTGACAGCTCTGTGCTGGTTGTGTCCAGGCCACAGAAGGCACACCAGTCATTCACCACCATCCCAGCAGCGATGACCTCGCTGCCTCGGTTCACAGTGCCCGCCTGCCAAAGGATGGCTCAGTGTGGATCATGGTACCAACAGCCAAAGTCATGAGGACTCTCCCCAATCCCTGGTCTCTGACCCGCAGCCTCAACCCCAAACTGCGACACGTAATAACCCAGATTCCTAAATACTGGGCAAAGGGATCTACTCCAGCAGAAAACAGGTCAGAGAACATGACTGCTTACCACAAGGGGAACCTGAAGGAGAGAAGACAGCTCATCCTGGTCTTCAATTGAAGTCTTGGGATGTACCAGCCCTCCCTGGTTGCTGAAGACACAGTAGCTTCCTACCAGCACCTGGTCAGCCACTGTCTGTCTGAAGACTTCCACCTTTAGCACATCAGCCAGGATTTCTTCTGTTTCCTGTTAGCCAAAGGTACTGTGCTCAGCACCCAGAACAAGCAGATCAAAGTACCCAGGGCCTCCACACCCAGACCCACCCAGGGCGTGACTCCCTAAGCTCATTCCTCTGCTATGCAGCTGCATATGGAAGCTTCACCCAGAAAAAGGAGGGACTACAGCTTGCAGCAGAGTCAAGGCCAGCTACAAAGCCATGCATGCCCTGAAGAGCCAGAGGCTGGTCTCCACATCACCTTCTTTCCCTCTAACACACAGGCAAGAGTTCAACCGTCAATCTTCTCTCCAGCCCTGGCTGCAAGACTGAATGAGTCAATCTCCCTGATTAATACAGGGAGGATTAATACACTCCCTAGCTTCTTTTCCCTAGCTGGTCACATCACGAAAGGCCTCTATTCACTCTTCCAACCAGTTCTTGAACTACAGGAATCCAGGTATAAAGAGAAACCACAAGAGATACCCCAAATTCCTGCCTGATAGGCAAGAACAGTGGCTAGCCACTGACTAGGCTAATATCCTGTGACTCTTGGGGTAAACTGGGCTGCCTCACCCTGTCCAGGTCTGGGTGGACTAAGGCCACATAGTCGTTGCAGGTGGTGACATTGCCCAGGGCTGAGAGCCGTTCCTCCACCCGCCGGATCTGCACGCTGTCTGGGAGGCAGTTGCGAATGTGCTGTAGCTCCTGGTCAGTGGTGTTGTTGGGCACCAGAAGACCATGCCTGTTCCCTGGAGAGACCCAAATTAGGGCAGGTTGTGTAAGGATGAACTGTTAATTCACAAGACACCTGCTGAGCGCTGGGGCCTGAAGATACAACCCAGTCCAGGTAGCTTCCCCAGGAAATCTTTAGAATCCAGACCCCAGTTCTTCACATCAATGAGCCACACAGTCCCCAGGGAACCAGGAGTCCCACTAGGCAGGACAGAGATGGCCTAGGAGTCTGTCCCAAACATCCTGTCCAATTCACCATCATCTACCAGGGACGACCAGGACCAAAAGGAAGGGATCTTGGGCATTAATTGTATATTTCGCTACTTAAAAACTGAGGTAACAATTCATACGTACCAGACGGCTAAATTCTTAAAAAGAACATCAACACCAAGGGTTGGCAAAGATATATGGAGCAACCAATAGGACTGTAAATTGGGCAACAACTTCAGATACTTATGTGACATCATCTATTACATTGGATACCCAGCCATTCCTCTCCCAGATATTATA